TATACTAGTGAGCAACTTAGACATATTCCAAAATTTAATAACCAAAACTCAATATTTTAAATTTTAGTGAATAATCTAAGACATCGATTTAAAGTCAGTGAGCAATCGAAAATATTGATCTAATTTCAATAATCAAAATTTGACATTTTAAATTTAAAATATCCGTAAAAAACGTGGACTGCCATTGGAACAATTAACTCCACAATCCCACAACCATCGGCATCGTTTCCCTACACCCACCAAACCCTCTCCAAATCCACCCAACGCTCCAGCGCCTCACCAATCATTTCAAACCCTCCGACGCCGGCACCAAGAGAAAGCAGATATCTATACGCTGCGTCGCTTGCTGCACCAGAAGGACCCAACCTCATCTTCGTCCGTCGCATCGCAGGCGGAAGTAAGTTCAAATGTGTTGGGATTTTAATCATTTTTCATGGGTGTTGATTTTGTTTGCTATTCTTGCTTGATGTTATTCTTGCACAGTACGTTTGAATCTGTTGGTAAATTTTTTGAAGTTTGTTTTAGACCCTCTTATTACTGCAGTGTCTCGGATTAGACGAGCCAACTGAATTTTGTAACATGGTCGAGCGTATTTTCTACATTTATGAAAAAACACACGTTTTTAACCCATTTGTTTTCAATAGTTGAGCTGATTTGGTAAATTATAGAATCATATAATTATTGATCCTGAAGAAAACCCGGTGCAATATACCTTATGTACTTTTTTAGTTTTCTCGTCCAAAATATAAATTGAAAGAAAAAAATGCATTATGCTGCCTTTAGTTAATAGTGCATTCTTGAATCTCCATGTTGACTTGAGTTTTATTCTTTGCCTCTTATTTTTGATGGGATTTTGTAGATTCTGCATTGTACGAGGTTTATTATCAGCCTATTTCTGTATGTTTTACCTTTATATTTTGATTGGCTTTTCTTGAGTCTTACGCTTCATCTCACAAAGGTAAAACACCTCAGTGCACGACTTAGCCTTTCCAGACATTGATATTTAAAAGTTGTGATACTTTTCTCGCTTGTCCACTGTATTTTCACCTTTGGTCAAACTGGTGGTTCTTGGAGTCCTATTTCGTTTTTATTTGTCTGACAGATGATTATTAAAATCTTAAACACTTGTACTTCAAAAAAATATGAAAAGCTAAGAAGAACATAGAAATCATCAATCCAGTAATACTGGTTTACAATTTGGGAGCATGTCTATGGAGCATAATAAATATTCTAATCAAGACATGATAAACTAGTATGTGGTAATCATATTCTGTCTAAGTACTGGGGTTACAAGGCGAACAAAGGCTAAAATGAGCTTGGTTTTCTGAAATGCAAACTTGGTTACAAGGACTGGTGGCCTATAAATTGCAGAATAACAGCACAACGTCCAGAGAAAAGGGTAACGAATAGAATACTCAGAAAATTATCTGACCAAAAATAGCTAAAAGAATTATCAACGTATTTTCCTGAATATAGCAAAAGATAGAAGCTTAACTTTCTATTCGATCTCGATTCACACTTTGAGTTGTCGAACAAAAGGCAGACTATAGCTTCTTTTCCAGTGCTTGTGATATTGCTAAACATGAGTGTTTCACATTTGAAAATTAATTGAAGTGTCAAGAATAGGGAATGAAACAGAAAAATGCCTTAAAGCACCACTAACATAAAGGAAAGGTGCACTCTAAACAAGCTAAAATTTGTGGCCACTTGCAGTAATTAATGCAACAAAAACCCTTAAATGCCACTATCACAATCCTAAAGGCATCAATAACTACAAAGAATACTTGCAAATATGCGCACATAAATTAATAGGCCAGGAATAATGGAGTAACACATGAAGATCATGGACTCCATTCACTGGGCTTTATTGTCTTGGAAAAAAAATCACAGCAAGATTTAAACAAAAGGAAATGCAATCAATAAAAGAGGTGAAAACCACAAATATTGTCGAACATTCAATCGAATTTATTAAAAGCCCGAGCAATAGCATTCAATAGTTAAATATTTATTCTAAAACCATCAATTTTTAAAACTTTTTTATGACCAGCATTCTCTTGTTGTCTTCAGTTCCAAATAAACTATATGTGAATCCAAATTGAAAACAAAATTAAATGCATTTGTAGCGAATGCCAAGAGTTGAAAAGACAAAGTGAAAATCTTACCTCAGAATTGATTGCATTCCGAAGCAAATTGCAAAGATGTACAGAGATCTTGAAATTGTGACGGAAAATGAAGGAAATACAATAGCCGCCACAGAATGTTGCATGTACTCCAGTTAGGGTTTTGATTTAAGGAGACGAGGGTAAATTGGGAAGATTTCCTCTCTTATATTGGTCTAGTCTCAGAGGTAAATTATATGAATTAATCTAGATGGTGATAAGCCCAAGTCCAAACCTCCAATTAAATTTACATACACAAGACGTAAGGGGACCAAGCAACATGGGGAGATAACTATATGACAGCATGGCACGATAGTAGCTTCTAGAATAAAGCTGCATCTCTCTTTGTAGTTAGGGTGGTTAGCTATTCTGTTTGAGTTGGTTAGAAGAAGGGTAT